ACAGTAGGTATATACATATGGACAAAGCATAGATCTGTCCGCAGTAAGGTAATACATTTAGAACAACATCGAATACACGTCGCCCACTGTGTTTGATACTAAATATTAGCAGCTGCCCCAGTAGATAGCTAGTCTTTCTTTTATTAGCTCAGATTTAATATGTGGGTGGAACATAGCTTGACAACACGAAACAGTTACATGAAACGTTAGACACTAAAGTGATACTAACAAAGTCGCTGAAAATAAACGTGGAATGTAGAATGGTCGCACACACCCATGAACTTTACATTAAACTTCAATGGGGGCGTATAATTTTGCTGTTCTCAGTCACCATATGGGACCTGGTTGGCTGACATCCCCCTATAACTAACGAAAAACCATATTTGGGAGCAACTTCCTTGAAAATCCCGTTGTTTTTGGCTACTGGACCAACGAACCAACGCATAAATAGAGCTCCAGTAGGTGTGGGCTTCACCAGAAGCTAAGCTGCAAGGTCATCCCTGTTGCCATCGGACAAGGTATGAACATAGTTTCACTTCTTTCTCGTTGGCACTGTCACTGAATTTGCTTTATTGTTCTTTATTCGATTTTCTTTATTGCTTTTTGTAGTAAGACAGATAAGATCAGATACTACATCCACGATACAGTGAACGAATTTACAATTCCTTATCATTCTATTGCACATGCCAGACGTACCCAGCTAACTAACCAACATGTGCGACGAAGAAGAGGAGGAAGCTACTCCCCTGGTTGTTGACAATGGCTCCGGACTGGTGAAGGCTGGCTTCGCCGGCGACGACGCCCCCAGGGCTGTCTTCCCATCCATCGTCGGCCGCCCAAGGCATCAGGGCGTGATGGTCGGTATGGGTCAGAAGGACGCCTACGTGGGTGACGAGGCTCAGAGCAAGAGGGGTATCCTCACCCTGAAGTACCCAGTCGAGCACGGCATCGTTACCAACTGGGACGATATGGAGAAGGTCTGGCACCACACCTTCTACAACGAGCTGCGTATCGCCCCCGAGGAACACCCGAGCCTTCTGACTGAAGCTCCTCTGAACCCCAAGGCCAACAGGGAGAAGATGACACAGGTTTGTCTTTTTCTCTATCTGCTTCCAAGTAATGGTTTTACATTGGATCAATGAGCTAGCAGACTAAATATATACCCAAGTGATTATGGCTCATCAGTTGGAATAAACGAAGAACCTGCACTTGACATAAAGAAGCAAGTTAGCGATAATGCTTCTCTACAGCGTTTCTCATAATTATTCAAACATTGCCATTCCAGATCATGTTTGAGACCTTCAATGCCCCCGCCATGTACGTGTGCATCCAAGCCGTGCTGTCCCTCTACGCTTCCGGTCGTACGACTGGTATCGTGCTGGACTCCGGCGATGGTGTCTCCCACGTAGTACCAATCTACGAAGGCTACTGTATGCCTCACGCCATCCTTCGTCTGGACCTGGCCGGCCGTGAGCTGACCAACTACCTGATGAGGGTCATGTGCGACCGTGGCTATTCCTTTGTGACCACTGGTAAGTTTTCATCCAGTTCATTGAAAACGTATACAAAATCAATCCGGCACCATACCTTTGTGTTCTTTTTTTTTATACCTCTAGTAGATATATTTTAAACATAGCTGAAGAAAATTGTTCCCTGTAGTTTGCATAAAATTTCTAACGGCATGTACTTGCCTTTTCACTCTAGTAATGGAACTACCAATGGTAAAATACCTGTGCTCTTTATGGCAAGGTAGACGGCTAATGATTTTTTTTACGTTGTTCAGCTGAGCGTGAGATTGTCCGTGACATCAAGGAGAAGCTGGGCTACGTCGCCCTGGACTTCGAGCAGGAGATGTTGACGGCAGCTACCTCCACCTCCCTGGAGAAGAGCTACGAGCTGCCTGACGGACAGGTCATCACCATCGGCAACGAGAGGTTCCGCTGCGCTGAGGCGCTCTTCCAGCCTTCCTTCCTTGGTAAGTGGATCTGCATTGCCAGCCAGTTGACTTTTATTCTTGGAGCTGAATTGAATACGATCTTAGCTGTAGTTCGGATGTCCTGGTCCTATTGGCCACCATGATAATCGAATTGTTTGCTATCGATAGGTATGGAAACCGCCGGCGTTCATGAGACCACCTACAACAGCATCATGAAGTGCGACATCGACGTCCGTAAGGACCTGTACGCCAACAACGTCCTGTCCGGTGGCACCACCATGTTCCCTGGAATCGGTGACCGTATGCAGAAGGAGATGGTGGCCCTTGCCCCCAGCACCATGAAGATCAAGATCATCGCTCCCCCAGAGAGGAAGTACTCCGTATGGATTGGTGGCTCCATCTTGGCTTCCCTGTCCACCTTCCAGCAGATGTGGATCACCAAGGCTGAGTACGACGAGGCCGGTCCCGCCATCGTTCATCGCAAATGCTTCTAATTTCCACGCCTTCATCTTAATCATGACATCTAGCGAAGCAGTATCCATGTCCCTTTTTTTTACATATCTAAAGACTTTGAGTTTTGTTTCTAATGTCAGCATATGTATTATCTGTGCAGAGAGTATTGGGACCAGGCAAAAAATCACAAAAAAAAGACATCGGTGGAAATATTAGGATGGTCAACGTTGGTAGTTAGTGGGCAACAGGGTCGTGAGTGACGTATGCACGTGATAGAGACAATGGAATGGAAAGTTTAGCACTTAAAGAACGTTTGGGGTAACATATGTTGCTTATTATTCATGTAAAAAAAAGATAAACATGCTCATTATTAGCGTCTTACCAAGCACTGTGTAAAACAATTGCCTCGAAGACCAACCGATTCCCAAGCTGTAATGAACGTTATTCTTCACTACGCTATGTTAGCAACAAGAACTCATTGATGTTGTTATTAGAACTTTGCCATTTGTGATTAAACATTGCCATCATCTTTACAACGTGTTTTGTCCTTCCCTTTTTCATTTGATTTTGAGGAGTAGTTGTAGAACTGTACGTGCAGAATAAAATATCACCGTTTTAGGCTACCTTTTCAAAAATAATCACGTGTATGTTGACATTAATGGAAAACATGACACTGAGTATGAGCAGACATTTCCTATGAGGTACATCTGGTATGAGATGAAGCATTGCAATGACCTACGGTATGTGAACTACACGTATGTCAGTCAAATATAGTCAGTCACACATTTGAGAAACGAAATCCGAAAACAACGATATTGGGTAAAGCAGATCGTATTGAAGTAGGAAAGAGAATGTGCGGCGTTTTGATTATTGATCACGTACCACATTTAGTTATGAAAGGACCTGTATGCTCTGGAAGGGTTTAAGGTCTTAGACTGTTTTCCTTGAATGGGTTAGACTCAGTGTCAGGAACAAAACACTCGTATCAGCAGATTTCATCTATATAGTAGAATAGCAATACATATATAAAACTCTTACACGAAGAATCTGACCAGATTCCCCTCATCCATTGCCGCCGTCACACTTGACAACGTTAGTTCATTATGCAGCCTGTACAGAGCTAGTGTGTGGTGACATGAGGTTGAAGTGGTGTCCTGGTTATGTAATTCATGTTCAAATCCATGTCAGGGGTTCAAAGAATAAGTGTCATCACTAGAGACTGTGGCTATCACTGTGGCTATGAATGCTAGATGCTGGATGTGGTTGCTACAATGGTGCGAATGCCGAGTAAACAAGCTTCGATATCAGACCAGCATTCCGGTGTTATGACTCAAATACCAAACCATGAACCAAGAATAATTGGCCTTGAGTACCAACCATTCTGTAATAACATCTTCTGATCACAGATGATCTGGGATGCCCGTCAGTTGATACAATCATAGTCTGTTGAACTGTGCTCGAGGACAATGACACTTTAATAACTCCTAGCATCAACTTGATTCGATTGAACAAATCATGTTTCTTATTGATCGACTCGTATGAAATCGATTGACTACAAATAGTACTTTTTTCTCAGCTTAACGAATGAACTTTTTCAATGGTAAAGTGAAAATTCCTGTGAAAACATTGAGGGAAACATTAGCTAAAATGTGAAAACATTAGCTAAAATCGGCATAAAAACTTTGCAACAGGCAGATCTAGAAGCGGCACTGAGGACGCAATACGGTTTTCGATCGCAGTTGCTTGTCCGAAATAGAATTTTTTTGAAACCTACTGACGTTAGCCTAAAACGTGAAAGAATTACATTTGGATGAAACAAAATACGAGTATGCCGACAAGTGATATGATATCATGAATGTTCAGACCACACATATTTGTACTTTGACGATCTATACAAACAACACAAGACCTTTCTAAACTTAATCGGGTACAGAGGTAGAAATTCTAGATGATATTTAGATAGAAACACAAGACATTTCAAGGTTGCAAACATTTTAGTCAGTGGTAATGAGGCGCCTATCCTCCTCCATGATGTAAATGACCCACCCTATGCGTGATTATGGATACACCCTGGTGGACAAAATGATACTTTCAACGAAGCGACTATGGTTTAAAATAATCCTGGTATGCATATTAACGCCACACGCCCTAATAACTTTACAACGATCGCGACTTTCTGGCGCTCCCGATGGAAATACCAGATGGAAGTTGGCAAATAAGTCGTGTTTGCCATATACGGGGGGAACTTCTGTGAAAAAAGTTCTGTTTTAGTACTGGGCGTAGGCACGGAAATCATATAATAGGACGCAGTCTGTCCTGTTCCTTACCACCTGCATATAGCAGCTTTTGGGGCTTGTATCTGATCAGCAGAGGTACATAACGCATATTTATCGATTTTAATGTTATTGTAGTGCCAAATATAAGCTGTATATAATACTATGTGATGGAATGTTCTGTTGATGTTATAATGATGATGATTCCGGCGGTGACTAGACAAATGACTTCGATTCAACGATGAATTTAAGGAGTTCTTCTTCTGTACCATTTTTATCTGTTTGAACGCCAGGCTTTTGGTAGGTAACGAATTCCATGAACTTTATTAATCTCTAGCTAACTACCGACCAAAATGTGCGACGAAGAAGAGGAGGAAGCTACTCCCCTGGTTGTTGACAATGGTTCCGGACTGGTGAAGGCTGGCTTCGCCGGCGACGACGCCCCCAGGGCTGTCTTCCCATCCATCGTCGGCCGCCCAAGGCATCAGGGCGTGATGGTCGGTATGGGTCAGAAGGACGCCTACGTGGGAGACGAGGCTCAGAGCAAGAGGGGTATCCTCACCCTGAAGTATCCCATCGAGCACGGCATCGTTACCAACTGGGATGATATGGAGAAGATCTGGCATCACACCTTCTACAACGAGCTGCGTATCGCCCCAGAAGAACATCCGAGCCTTCTGACTGAAGCTCCTCTAAACCCCAAGGCCAACAGGGAGAAGATGACACAGGTTTGTACACATTATGTTTTAACAGACTAAACTAATACATGATTTAAAATACAAAGCATATAAAATATAGGAATGGATAAAGAAAGCCTGCCTACTCAAGTCAATATATGTGTGTATATAAATTTACTACACAGCAAAAACGCAACCTAACACTTCGTCCTGACACTCATCCAGATCATGTTTGAGACCTTCAATGCCCCCGCCATGTACGTGTGCATCCAAGCCGTGCTGTCCCTCTACGCTTCCGGTCGTACGACTGGTATCGTGCTGGACTCCGGCGATGGTGTCTCCCACGTTGTGCCGATCTATGAGGGCTACTGTATGCCCCACGCCATCCTTCGTCTGGACCTGGCCGGCCGTGAGCTGACCAACTACATGATGAGGGTCTTATGCGACCGTGGCTACTCTTTTGTGACCACGGGTAAGACTTCAATAAGCTTCTGTATCTAACTCTTAAGCGCGCCAGAAATTGAGTAAACACTCTTGTTAACATCTTTAAATCCGTTTACCACCAATCCAATACAGTCCAGGCTGCTTTATCAATCAGTAATTTGTCAGATATTGATTTGTCTCCTCAATCCTTCCTCTTGGTCAGCCGAGCGTGAGATTGTCCGTGACATCAAGGAGAAGCTGGGCTACGTCGCCCTGGACTTCGAGCAGGAGATGTTGACGGCAGCTACCTCTGTAGCCCTGGAGAAGAGCTACGAGCTGCCTGATGGACAGGTCATCACCATCGGCAACGAGAGGTTCCGCTGCGCTGAGGCTCTCTTCCAGCCTTCCTTCCTCGGTAAATACTCACTGCTGTAGTTCTCTATTCAAAGCTATACGCTGTCTTGGCTTGAGTTAGTTTGAAGTACAAATCCTTTGCGATCGTTAATCTGAATTCCAACTCATATCAAAGGTACGTAGATATTACGAATGTTCGTAACTTTTGATGACAGAAACACAGCTCCTTGGTCTTTATGTCCATACCAAATGGTAATCTACGTCCTCGTCTGACTCAATCATCTTTCTTTTGTCGTCAACAGGTATGGAAACGGCCGGCGTTCATGAGACCACCTACAACTGCATCATGAAGTGCGACATCGACGTCCGTAAGGACCTGTACGCCAACAACGTCCTGTCCGGTGGCACCACCATGTTCCCTGGCATCGGTGACCGTATGCAGAAGGAGATGGTGGCCCTTGCCCCCAGCACCATGAAGATCAAGATCATCGCTCCTCCCGAGAGGAAGTACTCCGTATGGATCGGCGGGTCCATCCTGGCCTCCCTGTCCACCTTCCAGCAGATGTGGATCACCAAGGCTGAGTACGACGAGGCCGGTCCCGCAATCGTTCATCGCAAATGCTTCTAAATGACCTCCTGTATCTGTGCAAAGTTCAGCAATCTCTACTACTGTGGGCCTTAGGCCTACGTGGAACGAAGAAAAGCTGTGAACGTGGACCAGGCCACCTTTTCTGTGTGACACAGTAAATTCGTTTTTGATTGGTTCTGGAATTATTAACTCGATTGGAATGTCACTTTTAGAGGTATCGTAAAGTGTGATGAAGTTAAGTGTGGTTACGTGTTTATGACACGCTGTTTAGACATGTCGATGCGGTGAACCGTGTTGTAATGAGAGGAGATACTGTGCGTTTGAAGAGTTCAACACCCTGTTTTATGTCACATTGTCCTGTAAAACATTCCCTTTGTCCGCTAATAAAATACGTGGATGCTACCTGCTACTGAGTGTGTCTACGTTTCTAGACAAAAAAAAACAGAAAATGGTTTGGAAAAACATCGATGTGACAGCATATTAGGGACACCTAATAACATTCATGCCTGTGACAGGTACCGGTTCTTTCAACTTCATGATGAGAAAATGTATTATTCATAGAAACATCATGTACCACGCTGTAATTGTGTGTGAATGTGTACGTGATCATAACCATATGGCCGTATCTACTGGGGTCGTCTTCCTACCCACCACCCAACCAGTGATATGAGAATCCCATAAATAATTCAGAGGTGTGGCATTTGTAGCCGCGATTAAAACCTAGTAACGGCGCCGCTGTTTGGTACACGTTTCCGCATGGTGAACTTCGACATTACCTCGGCACGTAATTACTGAAATGAACAACGCTCGGTGTAGCCTGGTGACCATTCTCAACGGGTCGCGCTTTGGAGTGTTACGGCTGGCCCCAGTTTGTTTGGTAGTGGTAGGGCTTTCCTTTTGCAGGAAGCCGCAGCAGCCAACTATTATAAATTACTGTCGTCCCTTCGTGGAAAGCTAATTGATACTTGTAATCTGTAGCGTGCGCTGGACGGGAGGCTGGGCCGGAGGACACACTGTTAGCGCCCGAGAGATACCGGGGAGCCACGGCGGTCTGATTAACCATGCTGAGCTCGATGAAGCACGATATATACGTACTGACACGGACAGCTACAGACTAACTACAGCTACAGACTAGCTTCATGAGCCGCCTGTTTTGCACGTCTAAATGTCAGATCAAACGTAACTGATCTGTTACAAGACAGGATAGCTTTACCAGGACTATGAACGGTCTCCCCGCTGTGACGCAGGACAGGAGCCCGAACGCTTCACCTCTCAACCGGGTACGGAGGAACAGGAGGAAGAGAACAACTGACGGGGGCAATGAGGAGTTCTCCAGTCCGGGGAAAGATCACCCGACACCGCGCGATATTAGCGAAGCTCCTGTTCTACACAGAAGACACAAATCCACGGGAGTGAAGAAAACCCGTCCGGGGGAGGTAGGTTACATTGTGCTTTCTTAATTGATAACCAAAACTGCAGAGTACCGCGACATGTATGTAACGTCCTCAAGAGACTAAGTGTCCCTCAAACGACTCCAAAGAACTGGTAAATATAAAATTTAAGTATTTATTTTATACTGACCAGTATTAGTTGTTAGAAAAGACAGTTTATAACATGTACAACACACCAAACAGCATTTATCGTAAGCCTTGTCTTTTTGTACACAGCTCTTCGCAGTTTTCAGCATATTAAAATCTAGCCGCGTTGCTACGTCCCACGTACAACAGTACATATTACTTATTAAAACAAGCTATTATATGTCATGATCCCATAAACCCATACTGCCCACGGTGCGTAATTGATAAGTACTTGTAGATTGTATAACGTGGTACGTGACATGTAGAATAGGACACTACAAGAGCCTGTACGTGTACGAGTATCAGAGGACCTGAGTCGCATAAACAACACATAAAGAACCAATACGTCAAGCTAGGAATTATGTTTTAAGGAGTACCGGTGTGTCTAAAGATAATGTTTAAAAGTACCTGTGAATTTGGTTAATCTAGTACAACTCAACATTTGATCATTAATAGCCACATAAAATATTGATATCAGAAAGAATAAAAATAACTGTGAGCCTGCGTATATACTTGAGGAATCAAACTGCTGTTTGATATATGCTGGTAGCCTCAGATGTACATGGAGTTATTTTCTAATCTAATATAGCGCAGGCATTATGGAAAACAATACCAATATACTGATATTTGGAATACTGTATCACAGTATAGATGACAATGAATAACTACATACAGACGCATAGGAAATAGAAATTGAGTCCGGAAAATTTGCGTGCCAACTGACACATAAAGATCGTGCAGATAAGACAATATGATTAGCACGTTGTAATTTTATATTCATGTCAAGGATGAAACGTAAGACTGTCTATTGTGACTATTGAAATAACCAAATTAAAATTTAGATATCTTTATGATTTATTGATGACCTTGTAGATATAGAAATCTACATGTATGCTATAAAGAAGGAGTGTTCACAACAGATGAAACAAACGCCTGGTGACGTACACGTTATTCTCTTTGGCAGGTTCTGGTACACAAGTCCTGGCCGCTGGGTGGCGCAGTTTTACGGCCGTCCACTGTAGATCTCAACGCCATCAGCCAGCTGGGAGTTGGCGCCAAACCTCTGCCGCCCATCCAGCGGAAAGCGTCCGGCGGGTTAGGGCCTGTCACGGAGTACGAGGTGGAGAAAGGCGTGAAACCCACGTTCGGTGATCTACCTAGCTTACAGCTTTATCCAAACGGCAAGAAACGTTCGTTTTATGGAGCTGGAGTGAGTGGACTTCATGCAAACGGACAGAAAACTGACCAAAGTCTGCCGAAAGACAGCCAGGAAAAGCGAAGCTATGAAAGGCGCCATAAACTGAACATAACTGATGAAGACACAACCAACAATACTGGACAACTAGGGGGAACGCTCTTAGGTGGAGACGCCCCTTCAAAAGAAATGTTGCAGATGCAGAATAATCACAGGAACACAGTTTCACGTGAACGTCACATCCAAAATGGCCCGACTCGGGAAGCCACAGAGGAGGAGATCATTTCTTTAGACAACAATAACGGTGTGAATCGCAACAACAACATGACCACAGCCCAAACTGGAGCGTCCTGGAAGGTGGGTCAACGAGATTAAACGTAGTATAGAGGCGTGCAGGGGATCTTGCAGCGCCGCTCCTGAGCCGTCGCCAAAAATTGTACTGTGGGTGGAAACGCCTGTGCATATGTATGCATGCATGGAAGTCAACTTGACACGCATAACTGTAGTGTAGGGTCTACACTATGGCAGCATACTTCAAATTACATCATTACATGTAAAAGAAATGTACGTTGCATAGTTTACATACAATACGGAGGCTCTTACTTAGATATTCGAATGAATGCACAGGCAAAACGAGCGCTATCGGTAATGACGGTTGTCTTATTACTGACGTCACCAATAACTAGGTCGGTAATGTTAGTAAATCAAACTACCTCAGTAATTTGGGACTGTCTTATGAGTTATAACTATATACTTCCTCCCAGGGGTTGTTGTCAGGGCTGGTGGGGCGGATGCGGCTGATGGCCCGCCGGGACAAGCCGTCAGACGAGGTGGAGTCAGCGGTCTCCCGCCATATCCAGCAGCACAGGGAGGAGGCGAGCAGACTCACACGGGCCAGGTTAGTGGCAGTTCTGTCTCTGGACAGGTGATACTGGGTACAGAGATGGTCGATGTGATATTTGGGGACAAATACATATACAAAAGGACAGTCCAGTATTGATTGTTATAGGTTGAATCTCTTGCCGAAGTATCATTTCACCCGCTAGAGGTCGCTGCTGACTGGCAACGTTACTGCTATATACGATTGTCCATTCAGCACCAAGGACACCCCCTCCCCCTTTACTAGTATGTTACCGAATTTTAGTTGATTTTCAAACTGTTTTCAACAGGGCAGCCTGTTGTATGTACATGTTTTAGTCTGAGTTAGGACATGTTTATCTGGAAAAGAACTTAAGATGACCACGATGATGACGTACGATGAAGTTTATAGTTTTTCTTTTAATACAACACAACAGTGCAAAGGCGTATATTGTACTGGAGCGTCGCCTTGCGGATTATTACTTAACTACAGTTAAATTCTAGGCGTTGTTTGACAAGATTTGTTATCCCATCCGCAGATGTCTTGAACATTTCTATTGGTGGAAATTGACCTATGGCAGTACTTGGTAGATTTTGTCGTCTTTGTAACTTCTCTTTATCACTGACTAGAAGTGCAGCTAGACTACGACAAGATGCCACATTGCAGGAAAAGCTCATCGAAAGGAGACAGAGGAGGAAGGCCATGTTGGAGGAGACCAGTCAAAAACAGGTTTGCATGTCAGATTTTACAGTAATTACTTTACATTCCTTTCGGTCTAAGGTATAAATATGTTCAGACCCTGTGACATGTAGCTGTGTTGTGGGCACATGCCATGTCATGCCATAATGTTAATAATTGTTATTTGGTAGACAAGTGCTTCATTTTATTTTCTAAGATATCACCTATTAAACTTGGCTTTCAGAAGACAAGAGCATACACATGTACTAGAATGTTTTCCATCATTAGCAAGTTCATGTTTAGCAATATTGTTTAAATAGATTGATGTGAAGTGATATTTAGTCACGGTATAACATTAACATAGCACCAGCCTGATGCTAGTATACAGACTGCTCTGACCACATGATGTGGAATTGTTTCAGGTTCAGTCTGGGGCAGAAAGCTGAGACCAGATACCCACTGAAAAGAAGCTCAAGGAGCCAACATTCCTGCATGCCATAGGACATGTCAACAAGGCATTGAATTGGAAATGTAAGAAAATCTTAGGAATTTGACTAACACTGCTACTAGTGCTAGTGCTACATGTTACATGTAACTCTCAGTAAAGTTTGGTTTGCCTCATCTATATTGAGGAATAACATTATATTTGTCTGTGCACATTCTGTCTTATGACAGTTTCCATTTGTTTGTGAACTAACACTTGTACATTTTTGTGTCTGTCAATGTCAACGTTATTGAGGCTATTTGATTTTCAACACTTAGGTAAGGTAGTTTGTATTGTTTGTTTTTGTAGGAAGGACAAAGGAAGTGCGAAGAATACAGAATGGTAATTTACATGTCCATAAATGAGGGGGGTGCATGAAGCTTCCGTCCACCCCCTGAAGCATGTTCATGAGTTTTTGGCATTTGATTCAGTTAATAAGCAAGGTGTGCTGATCACACAGCTTTCACTGTGTATTAGGACCATTTTTGTGTAGTTAGGTTGCAATGAGAGGATATCATGCAACATATGGTCTACATGTCAAACAGGTAAATTCTTTGCCTTGTCTTTTGCTGAAAACTAGTGGCTACATAAACACAAAATAGGCAGAAATGTTGAGCAGATAAACAGCTCTGGTGAAATATTTCACTCACTAACTGGTTTCACACATTGGTTTATCCATAAAGCACTACAAGACACTTTTTCTCATCTGATGTGTGATGGTTAGTAAAACAAGTGCTTCTGCAAAAGCTGTCGTTTGCCGCCTTGGTTTTTTTGGCACAAGAACATCACATGCAACAAATGTGTTTCGTCTTTGAATTAAGTGATGATAAGACCGTTGATTGAAATCTAGCTATGTTATACTATATACACATGTACATAGTTTAGGAAAAGATAACCAGAATTGATGCTCATTAGAAGCTAATGCAGTCACCATCTTTACGTGGGGAAATTAAATTCTTTACTACATCAAATCTGCAATACAAAAAAAAATCTTGTGATGTAAAGAGCAATTTATTTCAATTGTGCTGTATTTTTAAATATTGGTAGCTTGTCAAATAGATTGGTATAGAGTGCAAAAGCACAGTGCACGGTGGCAGAGCTGAGTGTGAATGCTGCATTGCGTGAACTGCTTGGTGACATAGATGGCCAAAGTCCCAAGACTCTGAAAGAGATGAAAAAGAATTTTTTGTGTCAGCATAACATCCACAACTGAGCATATGCATATTGAATCCTTGCTTAAACATGTCAAAGCTAACCCTGGGCACCAGACTAATATAGCAGCCAACTCGCCTTGGGCTCAACTTGTAGTTGTAGTGGCCAGTGGTAAATTAGATAGGCAGGTGTAATGCCTATAGCTACTAGAAGGAACTGGCTAATGGCCCAATACCTAGCCTAGCCTCCAGGGTAGTTAACTTAAGGCTTGAAAATTTTATTGTTGATAAAATATGACTTTAAGTCATTTTTTTGTACTTTGAACTTGAGGCAAGCAATTATGGAAAAGTGTAGAGAAGCTTGGACAAAACCTTCTCATTCTTTTCTAATCACCACTCACCTTATAAATATGTCCCTTATCAAAATACCATCAAATGAACAAACACACCCTAAACAACTTCTAAACAAAAAAATTATCAACCAGCACAAAATTTTGATTGGTTTCTATCTCTTTGTTTGTCTAAAAAATCGATGATGTGATTGTATCAATTTTAAACACCGAAAAATTAGGTAAATCGGCGACATATGCGGATTGCCCTATGACCTTCGACCTTTTAAGTCATGCAGCTGCCCTCCCCCACGCCTCGACCGCCCGTGTTGTTTGCAAATTTCTGCTTTTTAAAGAAAATTTGGGACATAGAAACTCAAATAAAGGGAAAATAAACCACATACGTTATTTCCATGGTAAACATTGCTAGAAAAGACAGGATATGATTTTTTTCCGCCGCGTTGCCGAATTTTGCGGTCACTACATGGCGTGGTACGCTAGGGAATGGCTACGGTTTCTTCGTAAAAATTATGTATTGGCACATTTTCTGAGGCAAAAGGGCGAGAAAACTGCACCTCCAGAATTTTTAAAACTTGATTTCATGTAGGAATTCGTTCCTAAGAAGACATTGGCGAGATTGACATTTGTGTAACAAAGCAAGCTGTTTCCACGCCACCAACGAAGGGGAGGGGGGCGACGACAGCGATTGCATATATACTCATAAATTTCTCAATCTGATTGAGTGTGTGCCAGTGAAAGCACAATATTATTGATTGCCCTTTCTCATATCATCTTAAACTATACTGTTTTACTCTGAATCTATGCCTAATACTCTTACAGTTGTTGATACAAGTACAAGATAGTAAGGATACAAACGATATAAACACATTTTTGAGCTTACCTTTACATCTGGGACCTTGCAGTTTGACACAGCGACATCTTGCGACATGTGATGAAATAGCACCATATTCACAACAATGCCATCTAGCAACAATTTAGTAAAATGGCAAATCCGGCAGGCAGAATGGCCCATGGCCCGTTGTTGCCTGCATCCACGCAAGGACTGTTCTCATCAGTAAACGTTTGCCGCTAAGGCGGCAAACGTAAAAATTGAATCAATCCACGATCTCACGAGACCAGAGACATCAGCAAACCTTGTCAACCATTTCCTAAGACTTTCCAGGCAGCATATATTTCCTTGTTTCACCCAATTTTCTCTGCTTCTACACTACAGATATGTATATTGTGAGGCTTTTGTTGCATATACTTCTTTCACTGACTTAAATATTTTAAACTATTATAAGTAAGAAATAGAACCTGGAACCATATCTTCTGACACTTTATTTTCTCCGTATTCACCAATATAGTACAACATGTGTGCTACATAGTGCCACAAACACCAGCTTATAACTTAAAACATTTTTGTTTGAAACTTTTTCTCTGTAGATACATGTACAACTGAACTGCAGCATAACTTATTTGTTGGCAATAATCAGCCTATGTCAAAATGTACACAAAATAGTGAAACCTGCAGTCAACAATAACTGGGTATAACTACTAAATAAAACACAATGTTTCCATAGTAAGTACATGTACTGTTAGTACAACAAGCTGAAACTCCTACTAACTACCATACTACATGAATCAAAGAATCAAAACTGTTGAGCCATAACTGATTCAGTTTCTATAGTCCTTATACATAAATATAACACAGTACACCCCTTGCAAAGCCATGCAAAGCTATATGGCAATTCACATATAAAACGGGAAGTTTTATGGTATGTTCTCAGGTTAATTTTATGAGAAAAAAGACCTGCGGTAAGCAACACTTTGCGATGATTCAACATGGGTATCACTATATCTAAACACATGTACTATTAACCTGGCAATAGTGGCATACATGATTTACATCTTTTATAAACATGGTATCCAGCAACATAATGTGTCATTTTGTTTCCAAAAGACTGTCACAGACTATGACAGGCACAACTTACAAACCTTAAGGCAATCTTGTACAAGGTCTGAGTGCTTTTATTCTTTCAAGGATTTTTTTTTCTTCACTTATGCTGTTCATACAAGATCCATCACTAGTGTACAAGACTTGACTGGGAAAAGGACCACACAGTGGCAAAGGTAGTCAAACATTCTGTTCATGAAGTGGCATCATTTCATAATTCTTCTCTTCTGGTTCCTACTGTTTCAAAAGTCATGCTAACATCATGGCTTCTCAGAGATCAAAAACAACAAAAAAACACTTCCCTTTTCTCATAATAAGTTAAACCTGGAAGGAATTTGAGAAGCAAATACTCCAACTCCAAGTACACACATACAACAGTAGACAACATTGAGAATTGTCACAGAAAGCAAGACATTGTAATTCAAGATTCATCATCATCATATGATATCATTATAACAGTTATCATCATGTTGATCCTTCTTCCAAAGTAATGTAGGCTTATGAAGTACAAAGCTCTGGTTGAATCTTCAATTTTTTTTTCTATTGACCACATTTTCAGATGAAATGAATAACCATGAAAAGAAAATAGTCTTGATAACCGTTTCTGTGTACAACACTGAAACAAACTTCAAGCAATGACAGGGCTCGCATTTACACCACAAAGTATCCGTCTTCCAAAGAGATTACTTCTTCCGTGGCTTTTCGTATCCTGTGTTTCCAGCGTCGCGCTTTCTCCCCCCATCTGATGGTCCTTTGGGGCGGGGCGGAGTTGGGGGGTGGTACTCTGCTTGTGGTGCACGCGCCTCGGCAGCAGCAGGCTGGGGTCGCACTCTGTCATCCCTGTATCCAGACAACAAATGCAACTTTCATTTCATTGATAGACGCTGAAAAAAAATTGTACGTAAAAGAACCTAACACACTTGAAGAAGTGTAGGGGTGACCAGGTGTGTCAGAATGTCTCATATCAGGTTGTATTCGCGCATATAAGGTTACCACTCCGTCTGTAGTTTCCAAATGTTCTGTCGGAAAAGATATCTTCTGCGACAAGCCAAATTCTGATGCAACGTTGACCAAAAATCCAATAAAAAATGTGAAAAATGTGGGGTTTGCACAGGTGCAGTACGTTCTGCCGACGTGCTCACTGTACCTACCCTGGAGCAGGGAGGGCGTTAGCAGGGATGAGGTCCTCCTCCTCCTGACGGCCTCGTCTGTACTGCTGTCTGTCACGGTGACGTCGCCCCGCCCGGTCCCTGTCTCCATGGTAACCGACCCGCGGCGCGCCCACGTTAGCCCGCTGCTGCCACTCCTGGTTGAAAGCGTCTCTGTCGGCTGTGTAATGAGAATGGCAAGAACAGTGTTAGAAATACCCATCTGGAGTCTGCATTTTTCAGAGACATTTTCAATAATGCAGAAAGTAACCTGCAATTTTGCAGACTGAAAAAAAAAAAATGCCATGTGTTAAGATCCAGACTTTTAGGTTTGTATGAATGAATGAATGAATGAGGCTTTATTTCCATGTCATTGTGGTGTGCTTCTGGTGCCCAGCCTGTGTGGGCTTATAGGACACCACTTGATTTGTATACATGCAGAAAGTATTTCTGAATTGCAGAAAATTCAAAATTTTGGCATTTTGCAATATTGCAGAATGCTGAAAAAAAAGTATTTGTACCACTCAAGAATCACTTGTGCTAACGAGGACATTTGTATCTCACATGGACAGACAGACAGTCACGTTGGGTGAGCTGTGTTCTGCCTGTACAATGTTCCTAATCAGGACATGCTGATGACTACCAGCCACCATTAGGGTGTATGAGTGCAGGAAAACCTCTGAGTATTTTACTGAGTGGATGTCTATTGAATTTTGTAGCACACTTGAGTTGCTTACGTCATGAATATCCGTTGGAGCTGCACAATTGCATCACATGACTGACTCCCAGACAAAAAAAGCAGAGAAGTACACATAATGGCTTAATCAGCTACCTCATTACAGAGCAGTAAGTAGGTACTCCAAACGACTCCATGGAACAAAAATATCTTCTTCAAGTGGTTTAGATCACTAGGTGCACTGACGCAGGTTTCTTCTTCATACAGAATATTTAGCCTGCGATACACAATCTGTCGCTGCCAAGAGCTAAATGGCCCCCTCCCCTCCAGGGCCAATTATTTGGGCAAGCCACTATAGCAAGGTACAAGCCAAGCTAACAGAATTTTAGTTGCTTTAAATGTAATCTTTGAACAAAACTGTTGGTGGTACTAAATGCTTCTTACATTTATTGATGATCAGAGTGTGAATTCTTGCTAATATCTATCTGACAAAAAATCTGCCTCACCTTCATCCATATTGATGTAGTCCTGTTTCTCCTCCTCTCCATGTCTGTCCCGGGATCTCTCCACAATGTGGGCTCGTTCCCCTGTAAAAAAAAGAAGCCGGTTTGTCTTACTGGGGAGTTAAACCTTCTATAAATAAGATTGGCTCATATTTAAAAACTATGATCCAATCTTTTTAAAGCAATGTTGGACAATCGTTTCATATAATCTTAAAGAAATAAAAAGGAACCTCAAAACATTAAGTACTATCTTACCCTTTTCTACAAACGATCGACAAACTAAAAATCAACAGCTCCCTTCAATAGCAAAGTGACAAACCCAAACTCATAAGTTACGATATACATACCCAGATGATGACCAATGGCCATTTTCTGCAAACCAGCCTCTGAATCTCTCACCGTTCTTCTTGTCTCTTTCACCTGTGAGGAAGGATATAGCAACATAACTTAGCAGACAGGCATTGAGAAATGTACATTATGTGTCCTAATAGTAATTTAGTACAAATATGTAGTACAGGTGATTTTGCAACATCAAAACATGGATTCTGATCATGCTCCTCCTTTTTATGTGATTTGAAAGTGACTAGTGACCAATAACTAAAATGCATGTATCAACAGCATTGCAAACTTATCCAAGACCACCTACCCCTCCGGGTGCATTGCGTGTTGAGGAGCTGGCCTGGTACACCCTGGGTGGACCATTCCCAGTGTTGGAGTAGGAGTAGAAGTTGGACGAAGAGTAGGAGTAACAGTTGGGGTCATTCTGGGCACCGTGGGCCATTTGTTGCTAAACAGACATGACAAGAAAAAAAGAAGGATGTTAGAAAAGACTTGTATAATAAGGGGAACAATGCCAGGTATTTCTGCGATTTGTTTCAAGCACAGTTCATATACATGTGATTGTAAACATCATTACAAAATTACAAGCTTAAAAACCCACAGCTTGAAAGTGTTAATAATAACTGTTATGGATTATGATAATTCCAGCATGCTAATGTTGGTGTTCAAGCCTCATTTGTAACTGAAGATTGCTGTCATGATGCGGATTGCCTGTTGCTATTGTACAAAATAGCATTTTTATGTTTCAATATAAGATCCCGCTTTCAACACCTTGATAAACGTTTCTGACGTCTTTAGCAAAGCATAAAATCACAATTTCAAAACTTGGAGTCCTTAATCTTTTCATTTCTTTTCTTGCCAAGATTTTGATTACAAAACTCAGCAAAATGCAATCATGTTTTCCAGCAAACGTACTTTGTGAAATTGGCATATGATAATGTGCCCCAATAGAAAAAACGATTGACAGACACTATCAGGAGTTAGTCCTACACTGAACACATACATGAAGAGTGGGCATCCCTGCTAACTGTGGAGACTGCATGTTCTGAAAGTACAAAGGCCTGGAGTTACAAATCTACTTCTTACAGCTTAACGTATACTGTAACAGTGTAAGCTACATGATATAACTGTGCTTCTGTCCAGTCGTGGTGCTTGCATTTAACATGCTATGATGGTGAAAAAAGTCGGACAAATTCTTCCAAGGCAAATTCTAAATCATAAATAAAGAAATGGAAGAATCAATGGCTTGACTTACAAAGTTCCTGTGCATGTTTCCCATCATGCTGTGCATGTTGGACATCATCTGGTCCATCATAGAAAATGGCTGCAAGAAACAAAACATGTGAGATACAGATGTCAATCATTCTGGTCACCCTACAGGTACAGATGTCAATCATTCTGGTCACCATACAGACAGTACTGGGACTAGCACACAAATACGTAATATACAGTTTGCTTGAAGCTTTCATCATTCTGCTGGTCATATTCTGGCCAATCCATCATTTTCATGTGTAACACTGGCATTATAATATGGGAAAGATTACATCAAGTAACACTAGAAGGTTAGCAAGGTCCAGAGCTCTTCAGAAACCTGATTTTTTTACTCTATGATACAAAACATTGAGTCAGAGGACAGACTGACACATACACTTATCCTACCCTGAGGAAGAAGGGATCACGTAGCAAACTGACGCTCACACGTGTACGGTGGGACTAGTGGGGAACACAGGGAAGGAGAGAAGAAACTAAAGGTAAAAACACAAGGAAAGAAGGTATGTTTATGTAATAGGAAGTATGCTACAGAAACAAAGGGAGAGCAGTAAATCTGGGTAGATATTTAACACATCTAAATATCATAACTACCAAGTTAAAGTTCTTACATGAAGCTATCTCTAAGCAGAGGTTATGTCTGTTTTTAGGTGTTTGGTCTGGCTCTCTATTTTGTCTGCATTTCTTTGGGTATCCTAACCTCAGCTTGGAGAGTAAACATTAACTTACTACTAAGAAAAAGGAGGACAGCTTGAAGATACTAGCCTGGAGTCCAGCCTTGTTTTAGGGGGTTAGCGGATCTTTGTGATCAGACTAAAGCGAACAAGGCTGGACTCCAGGCTATTAAGATTATTGTAGTATGTAGATAGGTAGTTTTTACATATTTGAACTTTGGAACCTGACTGGAACCTAACCAGCTATACTAATCATAAAAATTTTTGCCTCTACTGCTGATCACTCACATCTCCAGGTCTCCTGTCCCTGTACATGTCCACCTCCCTGCCAACGCCATGACCGTGGTGACGCTGGCCCCTGGTCCCGTGTCCGTCCGTGATGCTCAGGAAGGGATCGTGGAACGCAGTCCTCCCCATCCCGAACCCAGAGAACATCTGGTCCATTGCACGCATGTGTTCCCGGGCCCCACTGTGTAAGAAGTAATACTTCTTAAAAAGTCATATTATGTTATGGTAAATTAAATACATTATTGGGAAAATGATGAGAGATTTTGCTCCAAACACTGGGGTATGATATGCCACATCCCAAAAATTTACTTGCCCAATCGGGCAAGTACAGGGGGATATTCACTTGCCCGAACAGTGCTTTTACTTGCCCTGGGCAAGTAGGCAATGGGACTTGTCCAACCCTGTCAGTATACAGTAAAAGCACATCTCCTGTGTTATGTACATGTATTTACATATATAATTCCATCAAAAAAGGTATACTAAGAAGCATGTCACATTGAAAACAGAAGCCTCTGAAAAGCAGTTACTCAAGCAACTGGATATGATTTTGAAAACGTCAAAGAAAACGTTGACGTTTTCAAAATCATATCCAGTTGCTTGAGTAACTGCTTTTTGGCGTATCGTATTACCTGGATGTCTAACCTTCATCGACGTAAGAAGCCTCTGACTGAGTTTTATTTTATATACATACTTAGTATTACATGTTACAAGAATGTGTTTACACCCTGCACTTCTTTATCATTTCAAACTGCGACATATCACAGGTTACATCTGCCTATGATCATCAAAATATGAGTCTCATTTCACACTGCATAATCTGCACAGCTAACAGCTGTCCCTTTAACGAGTTCATAGCTGGTTGAGGAGTGGTGACTGATGTCAGACTGACGTCTAACCCATGTCACTTAGGGTAGAGGACAGTCCTTTATATAGCACTCATCCTTATATATTACATTGCTTACACAAGTAGTGTAGAAGGCCAGCAGAGATCATATATTTGGGGTACACCTGAAAGAGGAGCTTTTGGAGAATTGGACCTAGACACAACTTTGTGTATTACCACTATACCAGGACATCTTTGGAAGTGCACAATACATTGTACATGTATGTGCTATTCAAATGTTATCTTTTGTGCACACATACATGTACCAACACTGTGCTGTTGACCCCCCTATAATTTCATCCAAATCCAGGGTTAAACCCCCCTCAATCCAAATCCACACTCACTAACCCCCTTATGTAAAATCCGACCTCTTCAACCCCCCTCCTCTGTTATTTTTTTGAACGGCTCACTGCATCATGTTTCATTCCAGACACATGATATCAAACATTTGTAAGCTGTCTACAGAAACACTTCAACTATCTGATAATGATCATTCAGTGCCTCATTAGTAGCTAACCACAAGCTATACTGTATGTCTGATGGGAGTCACACACACTATGTGACGTCTGTGAATAGCAAATGTTTATTCCCATAAGTAAAATGTTGTTGTATACTGAAGGTTAAAAATACATGTTAGTATATGGATCATATACAGCCCGAAGTCTGACATATAAGCTCACAAATATGAAATAGGCACTTTTCAAAGGTTTTGTGACTACCAACATGGCACATTTGTCACCAAGGTGACATGTTTTTCACATAATATATTTCTGAATGTCACACCACCACATGTAACGTTACATGTACTGCTTGGTGAAACACTCCAGCATTCTGTGAGCTAGATTTGCCAGTCATTCAGCATGTGAGAATCAATGTATTAACTTGCTGAATGTTGATCTACTATGATAGTGCATCTACTACGGTGAAAGTGTAAGTATAAGTTTAAAGGTACAGTAGCAAAAGCATGTAGTTTCTTTTCAACAGATACATAGGCTGTGTGTACACCATCATCATGCAATCATGAAGACTGTATTTTACAGCCCTATCACTGCGCCAAAAGAACCATGGAAACTCCATATGACGCCTGTGCCGTCCATGGTAACGGGAAATTATGTTACTGATTTGATCCACTGTCTCGCCTCGAGCATATCATGGTGGAAAATGACTTTCTATTTAAAGGGAAGAAGAAACAAGAAGCCATAGGCGATAATTCTCCGTGAAGTATTATATATTGCAACGAAAAGAAGTAGCCATTGGCGACAATTCTCTGTGAAGTGTGATAAATCGAACAAAGAAAAATTGTTTAAACGCGCGTCGGCTCAGTCATCTTAAGACGCAACAACCAATCAGAGATGCGAGATGCCTACACGTGACGCGGGAAGGGCGCGCGATGCCCGAAATATTTTTGCGTCAATATTCAGCGCCGTGATTCAAGAGATTAATACCCGGAAACAATTTTTTTCTTGTTTTGAACGCATTAACATGCATTTACGCTAATCTAGTATGATTCAGGGTTACTTTTTTTTTAACCTGCCATGGCCAGATTATCTAAAGATGTGTGTATTGTGTGTACAATCTATAGAAAGAGAAATGTACATCAGGTCCGATCATCCGATTTTCACGTTTCGGTTTTTTGGACTCGGTTCATGAACGTATTTTGGTTTGGCTCCTGGAATGTGCGAAAAAAATGACTCCCGGGACTGTCTACAGGGAACACTCGCACATTCGCGGTGTATCAGGACAGCGCGACTGGTCGTCATTAGCGCAGTAACAGTTGCATAAACGGACGAAACCATTTCAAAGAAATGGGGATGTTTCGAAAATAAGCATTTACTCCAATATCAAAACAGCTACGGTAAAAATAAAAGGACGTGCATCATCCCGGACATAATGCAACTACCACATGCGAATTACACAGAAATGCGACGTACGGAAGAATGCGTTTTGGCTGCGAACATCTTCCAAAAAACTTGGCATCTCTTAACCATGGGCAAAAACATCTGGAACCACTTATAAAAACCACCCCGTATCTGCATGAACTTTTTTGAACCCGACTGCTATTCCAAACAACGCGTTTTTCTGGACCATTCCAATTCGCCTCTTAATTGTAGGGGTGCGTCTGCGATATTACATTGACCGCGAAAGCAGCAACGGCAGAAATACACATTCGTGCATCAACACGGGCATGCCCGCAGACGGCGTATAAAATTGCGTGCCGATTACACAAAGAGAACCCAGTGTTTTGACTGCGAACATGAAAAATCAGCCGATTACAACACTCCGTCCGGAGGTCCTGACCTCCTTCACGGAGTAATAACATTTTGCGTAAGGATACAAGAGGTTACTGACCTAATTAGTGTACTCACCTAAACTGCTGTCGCCATAGTCATAACACCTTTAAACCTAACGTCACAACAAAGCTATTTTAATCTACCTTAATTAGCTTAGAAAACGAGGAGTTTCGTATCTCATATGGGTCCTTTTTGTAACGAAATTTGTGGGAGGGGGGCTATTTTGGCTACATGACGTTACTAGTACTACGCAAATGTAAAACACCGTGGTCTTTCCATGAATACTTACGCGAAGAACGGATCTTCGTCAAACATAGAGCCTCCAAACATTGTCTCTGCCTGTTGAGCTCGGACCTGGCGAAAAAAATAAGCCTTCTTCAGGCAAAATACTGAAGTTCCGTAGCGTCTTCCGCGGGACTTTTGTGTACAGACGACCGCCCGTGGAAATTACTCGAAAATTCTACATTGTACGCCTGCGTGCGCGATCGACCAATCACACAGCCTCTTGCGTCACGATCAATTGTGAGGTTTAAAAGCCTTCTGCCGATTGGGCAATATGCGCTTTGTGACAATTAAATGGGCAATATACGTACGTAACATCAAGGACGTCCTTGGTAGTATATATATAGTTTGTGACACTTGATTCGTAACAAAAGACGGGTAGCTCATTATTGTTACGATTCTGAAGGCTTCTAGAACACGGCAATAGATAGATAGCTAATTTAGAAAATCTGCAAAGGCGAACTTCGGAAGGTTACCCAAGTTTTTTTTCGGCAATTAAGTTTCAGTCTTTGAACATACAAAGTATGCACCTTGGAAGGTGGAGATCCCCCAGATGTTCATAGGGTGGGGTCACAAACGTAACATTCACCGCCGTTCTGCAGCTGAAAACGTCTGAAAAATGTCGGCAGGGGGCACTGATGCTCCATGTTGGTAGGATTTCTTCCGTGGTACCAATGTTTGTAGTCTGGGTGCTCTGAGTTTGACAGTGAGGTTGTAACTGAGGGGGGCGCTGGTATGATTTCTTTGGGGAATGTTGGCACTGGAGGCCAGGAGCTGGCCTGTGTAGGCCCTAGCCTGGAAACAGTCTGACTACAATGTTTGGCAGTGGTACGATGTTTGGTAGTTGACGATGTTTGGTAGTGTTCCAAATATCATGGTGTAGTTAGGACGTCTTCCGTTAGATGGTGCAAACCTAGTAGACATGGTAGATGGGCAACTCAAGCAAAGAGCCATGTCCAGAAATACTACATCGACAGTATTGAACGTTATACCTGATCGATAGATATTAGGATATCATTGATTGCAAGATCTACTGTAGAGTTTATGCCTGTCAGTCGGTGGGTCTGAGCTCGCTAGCAGAGGTTGGTGGCGAGATTGTTACCTCTCTATTATGCCCCGTTTTCTATCGCTATTGTGGGGGGTAGAAAGGTAACAATCTTCCCCACCAACCTCTGCTTGGAGAGTAGCTAGCTGGTGCTCCCTCCACTTTCTCCGCACATAGTTATAAATTCTCACTTATACAAACACACATGCAGCCTGGATGCAATCCATGCAGGGCTCCTTGCAGAAAACTAGCCTGGGTACCATCCGGATTTTGCTCCGCTACGCTGGAAAAATTACGAAATCAGGATGATACCCAGGCTAACACACACACACACACCACACCACACCACACCACACCACACCACACCACACCACACACGTACACAAAACACACACACACACACACACACACACACACACACACACACACACACAAACACACACATATCGTGAAAGTCCACACTCACACACTCACACGGGCACTCACACTAAGACATTTTATCATACACTCAGAGAGACTAACACACGTACACACACTCAACGGGTTTTATATCATGTGAACCTTTGCACGTAGTTACCTACACACACACACACACACACACACACACACACACACACACACACACACACACACACACACATATCGTGAAAGCCCACACTCACACACACACTCACACGGGCACTAACATAAGACATTTTACACACACACACACACACACCACACCACACACGTACACACCACACCACACACATACACAAAACACACACCACACCACACACACATACAC